ACGCACTCCTGAAAGAACTGTTTGAAAATTGAACGCGCAACAGTAGTAAAGGCTTGAACACAGTAGCATAAGTCTCAAGTGCAACTTTGTATCAACAAATGTTCGTCTTTTGATACTTATTAGCTGTCAGAGACACATATCAATTGTCTAGCCCAATGAAAAGTCTGATTCACGTTCTCTGCTCAATTTGCGACTCGAGCATAACAGTTTATCAAAACAAAACAATTTATTCAGCACGCTGTTCACCAATGTATGAAAGAGTGTTTTTTTAGGCAAGACACACCGTAAAATGACTACTGTACACCAATAAATCGACACATTTTAGAGACAACTATCTAGTCTTCAAAAAGCAATGTAAACTCTGTCAATCCTAAAAATAAACAACAGCTTGAATGAGGTGTGAATGAGATCGGTTCGAACCACAGTTTTATGCAAATTCGTACGGTCGTCCTGAACCGCTCTGTCTATTGTTTAAACTTCCAAACCGCAAAACTGGGTTTTGTTTGGGCGGTTTAGGTTTTCGTAGGTTTGACCCGCATGTTTGAATATGAGATCACCCCTAAATAAACAATCTGTTGTATACGCCACTTGGAACTCAAGTTTCAAGGACACGCTCGTGACAACCCCTCCGCTTTAATATGACGAGCACAAAGAGAACTTAACGGGGACTGTGTCATTTTTAATGACTTGTTATTTTTGGCCATATTACTACTACACACGGAACACGTGTTTTGATGTAAATAAACAATCTGTTGTATAAGCCACTTGGAACTCAAGTTTCAAGGACACGCTCGCGACAACCCCTCCGCTTTAATATGACGAGCACAAAGAGAACTTTCAAAAATTTAACTGGGACTGTGTCCTTTTCAATGACTTGTTAGTTCTTGTTTGGACACAAGTCAAAAATGTTGACTTATGGCTTATGTGTGTGCCTGGAGCTGTATCTCAGACACTGCTTGATTTATTTACTGCAAACCTCACACATGTTTTTGTGATTCAGTCAAAGATGGCTGTATTTTGACATAATCACTGGCATGTGGGAAGGATTAACTATTTTAGATAGTTGATGTACGTCATGACTCTATTATGCCACTCTGCCATACCATAAATCGTACCATATCCTATCACTAGAAATAATCATATTCTTTCCTGAAGTAGAACAATTCCATACAAGTATTTTTTTTCCACAAAGCCCTCTAAGATAGTTATTTTGAAGTCTCTCTAATCTAATTTGTGGGATAATAGTCATAATTAGCATTGGGCAAAGCATTTTTTTTTCTTTACATGTTGTTATTTATTAATTGCAACAACCTCTCATTTTTATCCATATTTTTAGGAAAAGGTGACATCCTGTGAGTCATGTTCTTCCATGTTTACTGTCAGTGGTGATCTGCAGTTAGACAACTCAAAAAAAGTGACCAAAGATGGTGATCCAAGCCTGGCTGATGCCGAACAGAAGCTACGTGAACTAGAATTGGAACTGGCACAGACTAAATTGCAACTTGTTGAATCTGAATGCAGGACTCAAGACTTGGAACATGATTTAGCCGCTGTAATGAATGAGTTACAAGCATCAAAAAATAATTGGTTTGCCAAAACATTTACACAGTTGAAAGAAGTCACTTCCAAAAAAGAAAGTTAATTTCTCAGTTATTGCATGTTATGCATTGACTCCAAAGATGATGTTTGTACAATGTAACAAACTGACAGGATTTAGCGTTGCCATTATCATCTTTTTGTTCAATATTAAAGAACAAATTTATGATTGATGCTGATCAATACATTTTTATTTTTGCTTTTTTTGTATGTGCACAAGTAATCATTTTCAGAAATCCTTGATCCAATTTCAAAAATTAACTATAAATATCCCTAAATCAAGCATTTGTGCCATTCTAGAACCACATCTCATGTATGCATGCCTCTTTGCTTTCCAGACTAGATTCTAAACTGCAGACTTTTGGCTTCATCCTGTTCCTACCCTATGTTTTTGACATGCATCAAGTCTTTTCATATTTGATATAGCCTGTGACCCTGATTGTTTTGTGTGCATGTATAACAAGATGTATCAGCAATTTTCATTGCTTTCATGAGACTGTATTGATCCACATGTCTCTGAACATCTTACATTGACACAATCTCTCCATTAGCTTTATTAGCTCTGCTGTTGACGAAGTCGAACGGTGCTTATAGTATTACTGATTGTCCGTCGCCGTCGTCAACTTTACATTTTCGACTTCTTCTTAAAAACCACAAACTGTATAGCTGTGAAACTTTCTAGGAAGGTACCTTGGGTGGTTCTCTCTCAGATTTGTTCATTTTGTGTAGATATGTTCAATTGTCTTATTTATAGCACATATTTTCAACATTTTTGGTCAAAAATGCTATTTTCGACTTCTTCTTGAAAACCGCTGGCCCAAATGCTTGGTATGTAAGGTACCTTGAGGTATGTAAGGGTGCATAAATACGTCAGTTGCGAGTGGTGAGTTGCGAGTCGCAAGTAGCAAAATGTGTCAGTTGCGAGCGCTCGAAAGTGGCAGTTGCTAGCGCTAAAAGTAGCAGTTGCTAGTGGCGATTTGTATGTAGTTGCGAGTGCTAGCTACATCGGCATTGTGTGAAATAAAATTAAGTCCGATGTCCTAGCCACTTGTTATCAAGTTACATGTACATGTGTTGAAATGAATTTCTGAATGTCTACGATGCTATTTGTGCGTGTGTGGTACGTACACTAA